GATGTAGTATGTATTCTTTTCATTTATCGTTTATATACAGGTTAAATTGTTTTTTTTTGATTGTAGTCGTTCAAATCCATTATTTCTACAAACGGTTGTGTAGGCATCATTTTTAAAATGATTGAATATGTTTTATTTTTGTTGGTTTTGTATTGTGCTTTCAATTATTACGCTCTCTAATGCTTACAGCAGAATAAATATAATAACGATGTGGGTGAGGCTTGTAATCTACTAAATACACTCACCCTTACTGATACCCAAGATGTATGAAAATAACCTTGCATTTGTCATCACTCTTATCTACTTTGTTTTACATTACATTCATCATGTTCTGTATATTTTATCAAAAGAGGTGGGTGTGTGTGCTATAGTAAGTTTTAATGTAATACCCATACCCATACTCAATATTTTTGTTTCATTCTCTACAAGCAGATAAGCATTCTGTTACTTCGAAGCAATAAATCATATTTATTGATAAAAGAAAGAATATAGAAAATTAATTAACGTATCCAAAATGCGATGATTCGTGGTATATCACTTCTTCGCAGTATAATGTATATAGATGGTAGTTGTTGTTGAAACCATTGAAGAAGTTCATCATCATCATCATCATCATCATCATCATCATCATCATCAGACATTGATTCTTCATTCCAATTATCATCTTGACATACAACTGTCAATGCTTGAAGATTATTCAATGCGTTTATAAGATTCGTAACGCATGTTCGATTTTCAACAACAATAGCAAGTGCTTTACAATTAGTGACAAACGACAGTTGACTTAATTTAACACATTGATCATTATTATATACGAAATCAGTTGAAATTAAATCTAAGAAGAATGCAGATAGATCTTTGTTGCCGAATGATAATATATTGAAAACTCTTGATGGATGTTCACGAATGTAAAAAATCGACAAACAAGTTATTTGACTCAGTATATTTTGTAGCTGATTTCGATTGTTATCATCATCATTATCAGTGAATGATACAAAAAGATTTTTTACTTGAGCAACACTTGGTATCATAGACCAAAACTTTTCGTTAATAGGAAGTTTAATAGAAAGAATTGTAGCGTTGAGAAACTGAATGTTTAATAACGCAGAGCAATCGGAATTTGATAAAAAATAATTAAGTGAATATACTGTTTTATTCAGCCATTGTTTATTTTCAATAGGATAAGTTGTTTTCAATAAAATTGGTTCTGAATATTGGTATCCTTCGAACATGTATGGTAATGTATAGAAAACACAGTTGTGTCCATCTGACTTCCATTCGCATTGCATAAACCAATGATGTTCATCAATCCAAAATGGACTACGAAAAGTATTTAATATTCTATCAATTTCTTGTTCTTTATTATCACCATTATCAAACGTATGTCCCATACGAAGATGCAGATCTTTCAGTTGTGGTAAATTTTCTCGAATAAGTTTTTCTACTTGATATCCATCTATAACAAAATCTTTAATATTTAATTTCAGATAACTTAATGCAGGGAGCATTTCTAATACTGTTATTAGTTGATCCGATCGCCAAGCATAAGTTATGTATGCTTTAGTGATTTTAGGAACGATTGACAATTGACGATAGAAAGGATATTCGAAAGTAAGAGTCGTGGATAAATATTGTAAATTTGGTGTTTGTTCGCATAATTGAATAAATTCGTTTGATGATATTTCAATATTTTCTAAGGTTAGATATTGAATACTAGAAGAAACTATGGATGGTACAGGAAAACACATAACAGACCTTCCAAATTCAAATTTTAAACAGCAATATTTCAAGTTTGTTAAATTCCAAATACTACTAATGAAATAGTGTACTTCAAATGAATTGTTTGACAGGTATACTGGTTTGTAGACGAGACGAGAAAATTTTGGTAAATTTTGAAGTTCATCTATGATTAGATGAGCTAATAGTCCGGCAGGTAAATAATATATTGAAAGTGATTGTAAATGAATAAATTTAGAAAATTTAAATCCTTGTTCGAAAAAATAATCGATTTGCATAGGAGTGTGTTCACTATTTGAGAGACAAATCGCTGTTATTTGATCAGGTGCTGATGAAATGTATGTTTGACCAATCGCTTCAAAATCAGATTGAGATATGCTTCGGAAATCAAAGCCATGCATCCGAAAATGATTGGAAAGAATAAGATTAAATCGGTAATTAAGTTCATAAAATGCATGAAAAAGATTAGAAGACGATAAGTATTCGAAACATTTGATTAACAATTCGTTAGGTAACGATTCAATATTCATTTCGTGTAACTATGTGTTAACGTTCGATTATAAAGAAACAATTTAACTATTGTTGGCTTTTTCTTTTCTGCACGTTACTGTGATGACAACAAAACAACAATAAAGTAATCTCAACAATTATATTGAATCAGCAAGCGTGCGGAGTATCCGCAAAATTTTTGCTAGTTAAATATTGAAATAGAAAAATGTACAGAACAAAACTGTTTGTTCCATTAACAAATAGCGCTGTTGCAGGTAAATTTTACTTTCGCCGAGAATTATTTTCGCCTACGATGAATTTCGCCGAAAGCCCATACAAACTGCATATAATCGATCTTATGAGCAACAATTGTGTATTAAATAATTCGTCCATCATAGCAAATCAGTTGATTCCCAAGTGGAACGACTTCTAAGGGTGGGTGTGGGTGTCAGAGTAAGGCTAATGTGATGCCCTCACACTAGTTACAATTTTAGATTTGCGATACTCTAATGTGTGGGTGTGGATGTGAACGTGGGTGATGGTGTGATTATTCTTCTTATTCACCATCAATACGCACACTTATGCCCATATTCTCTAGATGTCGTATTATAGTAGGAAAAAACCTACTCATAAAAATTATATCATACTATGTATAAAATATGATGATTTGTAGAATATAAGAATATTAAAGAAAGAAAAAGTAAATATCACATTTCTTCTTATCTTCCTTCTTCTTTCGTGTCACTTGTCATCGGTCAATACAAATTTTTTCAATTATTGAGAAGAAAATCTCTCTTCGTTTCTTTTGCAGAAGTAATCTACGACACCTATAAACAACTTACTAATAAAGAGGAAACAGCTAAAAACTGAATTATTCAAATGATCAAAAAGACTATTTTCTTTTCTTTTTATGTATATGTTATTCTTTTCATGATTAACACCATGTGCAATGTATCACGTTATTATTGTTGGTTTTTACCTGTCTATTTGCATAGTTATTTGCACTGTCTACAATATGCAGCAAAAAACAGCATAGTCAAACTAGAATCAAGTTGGAAAGAAAAAAAAATACGTGTGCAAGTATGTCGCTCTCGTTTGAAATCAGTCCTCGTTTTCTGTTTGATAATATACATGAAACAAAACAAAATTTTCAACCGATCTATTGTTATGAACAGGAGCCACTTGTGTCTCTCGAAGAAGCATGCCAACCACTCGGAAACATGCTTGGCACAGAACTGTCACTATATATAAATGTTGCCAAATTAAATTCCAAAGAGTCTAAACAAGGATTAAATCAAGATGAATCAGCATCGATCTATCTGTATACAATGGAATGGAATCAATCACAAAACAGTCTTTATGTACGTCTTAATCAAGCACTTTGTGCTAATGATAAAAATCGACTTGAACCTTGGTATAAATATCTCAAATTATTATTTACAGCACTCTTCAAATTACCGTAAGTAGTTTATTCATCGATAGAATTTATTTGAATTTGAACAACTGTAGATATACTGAACAACATACTGTTTGGCGTGGTATTGCTAAAGATGTCAGTGAACATTATCGAGAAGGTGATGAGTTAACATGGCGATCGTTGACTTCTACAACATCTTCAATTGATGTTCTTCAATCACCAATGTATTTGGGTAGAGAAAAAGTACAAACAATATTTGTTATCGAAACAAAACACGGAAAATCTATTCAAGCACATTCACATCTTGTGAATGATAATGAAATTCTTCTTTTACCTGGAATTGTTCTAAAGGTCATACGGTCATCAAAACAAACTGATGGAATTCATATAATTCATTTACGTGATGTTGAATCATTCGATAGCTTAATCTTGAATCCGATTCCACAACTTAATCAATATCGCAATCCAAGACTTGAAGAAGTGATTCGAGCATCAGAAATGCGTAGTAAATTATCTTTAGAATCCATGAATTTAAATGATCAAGACATGGAAATAGTTGTTAAGTTAGGTATTGTTGAAAAGCAATGTATGATACTCAATTTGAGTGATAATGCAATCACATCTGTTGGCGCTTCTATCTTGTCTCAGGTGTTTCTTGATAATCAAACTTTCAAGTCATTGATACTTAAGAGAAATCGAATATTAGATGCAGGTGTTGAATTTATTGCTAGAGGATTAGCAAATGCAAATCTTTGTTTCAGAACTCTTTATTTGGATTCTGTTGGTATGTCAGACACTAGTTGTAAATACCTTGCTGAGATGATTCGAAGAAATCATGGAATAATCTATCTCTGGTTAAACAATAATGAAATTAGTGATCGTGGAGTTCAAGTATTACTTGAGACGATCAAATCTTGTGACTGTGGTATCGTAATGATAACTTTATCTGGCAATACATTAATAACTGATGCAAGTGTAGATATTATTTGTTCTGCTATGTTTGAAAATCGTATCTTTCATCAAATACATATTTATAATTGTGGACTGTCAACTGCAGGTAAAGAACGACTTCAAGTCGCAGCTCAACAAACATCATTCATCCTTTATGTATAAATCGTCATGGTGTGCTATTTTTAGAGCAATTGCATTCCTGTAATATTTTTCACAGATCATAATTATTTAAAGATATTGTTAAGAATAAATGTAGTCGGATGATGTCTCCATCTTTTCATAATTGTGAGCATATCTCATTATCAGTCATTGAATTTCGTAACCAATCAGTTTCAATCGTCTGATAAGTTGAATACAATGGCACCTGAAAATTCATTTGTCTAGTTTAATAATTGATATGTTTTCATTCGCAAAATCTTACTTGAATATGAATTTTGCCAGGTACTAATTTAGTTTAATAAATTTAAAAAGCTTGTTTTAATCTTCGTAGAATTTCTCAACAAGTGATCAAACAACTACTTCCAAAAAAGAGTGCTCGTCTATCATCCTTATCTGATAAAGCGACATCAAATTTGAAAAAGTCTTTTAAATTAATATCATGGAATATCGATGCATTTGATACTCGCAATCCAAAAATATTTAACGAACGCATTAATGGTGTTGTTAATGTTATTAAACAGTAAGAATTTATCTAATAAGAAATGAATTGATATAGTTATCATTTTTAGAGAAAAACCAGATACAATCTTTTTTCAAGAAGTTATTCCAACGTCGCTTGATATACTTAAAACTCATTTATGTGATTATGATTTTTATGCTGGTAAGTTGAACTCACTTAGAAAATATATACCTAAAAGCTTCTTCTCTAGGTGACCTCAAAAATTATTTTGTAACTATTTTTACTCAACGTGATGTATTTCAAATACAAAATCATTCAGTATTGTCTTATCCATGGACAACCATGAATAGAAATTTGTTAATCGTTAACGTGAGTTATCTATCTGCTTCTTTCAATTCTAATCAAATAGCTTTTTTTCTTTTAGGGTATTTATAAGAATTCGATAGAAATTGATTTGATGACATCTCATCTTGAAAGTTGTGACGCAGCAGTTAAAGAACGTATTCAACAATTGAAATTCTGTTTTCAGAAGATGATTAATGCTCCAAAAAATCGAATTGTTCTCTTTGGTGGTGATTTAAATCTTCATGATCATGAAGTAAGCATTCAGTTTATGAAAACTGCTGCTTTTTCATTAGTATTTTCTATTTCAGTTTCAACAAGCAGATAATATTCCAGCAGGTATTCATGATTTATGGATTGAAATGGGTAAGAAGGAAGAGTATACTTATACATGGGATATGCAAACAAATACAAATTTGAGTTTTCCACGTAATGGTTTTTTACCTCGTCATCGTTTCGATCGTCTTTATTTTCGACCAGCAACAACATCTACAATTGATTTTAAACCAATTTCTTTCAAACTTCAAGGTCGTGAAATGATTCAATCAATTCAACGATTTTGTTCAGATCATTGGGCTATACAAGTAGAATTTCAATTATAGAGAACAAATTCATCGGTTCAGATTAAGTTTTTGTTTGAAAAGAAAGATAAGTTAAATTGTTTAACTTTGTCACACCCTCGATAACAAAAACATTTAAAAAGAGAAAATTTATACATTTCATTAGAAAGATTTTACGTTTTTTTCTGGTTTCAAATGTTAGTTCGATTTTCAATTCGTAACTGATCTAGATTGCAATAAGACAGCCATTCAATAGGCATTTCATTAAAAGTCGCATACCAATGGCCAAAATAAGATGATTTATTTAATAAATTGTTCGAAGGCACAACATGAAGAGTTCGAGGATATTTTCCTTCACAACTCGATTTCCATCGTGATCCATCAAGTAAATAATGAAATGTATGTCCATTTACGAAACATGGTAATGAAGTAAAATAGTCTGGAAAATATGTTGCAAAAAGATTCAAAACAACTTGATCTGCAGACCATAATGATCTAAGTTGAAATTGTTGATATGCAGTATCAACTACATTATCCAATAATTGTGTAAAATTAATTCGTCGACAAATATTTAAATCTAATAAGACAATACCAGTTAAAAATGGATCAGGAGCTGATGCTTTGTATTTGTAATCGATCGGTACAAGTGGATACCATGGTACTAAACCTAGTGCAGTCTGATTTCTCTTGAACAAATCGAATTGTTTCCAAATAGAATATACATCATCAACAAATATAACATCAGTATCAATCACAATAACATGTTGTACGTCAGATGGTAATAAATCATGAATTAATGCTTTAGAAAAAGCATAAATACCCGAATAATGTGAAACAGTTATACGATGTTTCTTCAAAAACTGTTCACTTACTTTCATTAGATTATCTATCGAATATATTCGAAATTGTGTACAAACATTTATCATCGAAGAAAAATACGTGCTAATTAATTGTTTTCCATGAGCATCTGTAAATATATGAAATGTGAGAATATAAGATTTTCGATGGTGAAACATGATTGATTTTATAGTAGTAAGAGCTATTTCATTAAACTTTTGATTTGCACAGACAATAGCTAAATGAATACCATCTTGTAAGTGATGGATAATTGAATTTTCAGATTCTTTTGCAACATCAAATGTAAATTTTGTGATTTGATTTGGGAATAATGAGGATTGGTCAAAAATCAAGACTGTAACAACACAGATTATAATAACAATAATAAGAATAAGAATTTTGCTCCAAAGCATTGTTTAGTTAGTACACATCTATCTATAAATAATCCGCATTTTTAATTAATTGTGTGTCAATTATTTATGTGAAATTTATAATAACTCTTCATACACACATAGAATTTACCTTATGTTTATGAAAATGTTATTACATCAACTCATCATGCTATAGTGTTTCTTGTTCGATACATCATCGATTGTTCATATGTATATATACTTTTTTTTTCTTTCATCTCTCGAATAAAAAAAGAACAGCGTCATTGAGTCATCTAATAACGTATATGATTTATACGATGTACCAAATATCATGTAATAGTTATCACGTAAAATGAATCTGCTTATATATAAGTTATATTAAAGAGACAGTAGAAGACGAGCGATCATTTATGCACGATATTTTATATTAATTATCTATGAACTAATTAATAATGTTTTATCTATTAAAACGATATGTTCTTTCTCAAGTTGCATGTTTAGTCAAAGTTAAAAATACACTGATTGTACGAAAATTAGTTTAGACATGTACAATTTATTTTATCTACTTCAGCAGTGGTCTTCAATTGTTCCACTATCTGTTAAATATCGAATTCATTTCCTTTAAATAATGGTTCTGTCTCTTGAGACAAAAGTGATATAAGACTAGCCGCACTAATTTTGCAACAGATTCCATTACATATACGTTTAAACTACTGAGTTTAGTATCGAGTTATGAAAGCAAAAATGGATATAATAATTTTCATGATTCATTCAAACACGTGTGTTCTCCTCTCGACAGAAATAATTAATCCATTTTTTCTTGTTATTTACCATTTACTTATATTCTTTTTCCTTCATAATGTATGTATATAATCGACGAGAGTGTAATTAACTATTTTTACTTTTCTTTTTATCCAACTAAAACGATATAATCAAAAAAATAATTGCATATTGTTATTATTTAGAAATAATTTTTTGCTCTTATTATATTGTCCTTTATTGTACGATATTAAGATTGAGAGAATATACTAAATAAACGTTAATTCTACAAACTAAAGAAAAAAAAATATTTTGAGTTTTTTAGAACGATTTGTTTCAAAATGGTGTTTCTTTTCGATTCTTAATATATTCGGCAATTTTTGGATTTTTTTCAACTTCTTGACGATTACGTTCTAACCAAGGATAAGATTGAAGAAATTTGTCATCAATTTTAACAACATAACTTAACATATCATAGACTTCTAAATCAGCGAAAGTTAAATGATTTCCAACAAAAAATTGACTACCATCGCCATATAATTTTCCGAGAGTTTCAAAATTCTTCATATGTTTCGGCAGTTCATCAGCAAAGAATTTTGCGATTTCCTCTTTTTTCTTGCTTTCGTCTTGTTGCATGAGAAGTGGTACATATTTCACAGCCAAATCAATACTTGTGTCAACAACAACATCAACTTTGGCTTGTTCAAGATTGTCTTTACCAGCAAGTTTAAATTGTTTAGAAAGAAAACGAGCAATTGTCATTGATTGAGGTATTTTCACTCCATCGACTTCGAGAACTGGCATTTGACCTAATGGCATTTCGGATTTATGTGATGGCCATTCCTCACGTTCATATCGAATATCTTCATATGTCTCTCCAGCAGCAGCAAATATCAAACGAGCTATTTCAGCTCGACCACGACCATTGAAATAATAGAGTTTGTATGTTGGCATTATAATGTGCACAAGAAATAATTTCTCAAAGAATGACGAAGAAAGTAGAAGTAACGATTTAGTAGTGCTCCCTACTTATATGTTGAAAAAAATGTTTTTGTCGTCACACTAAGGCTTGTGAAATGGTTATTTTTTTTTTGCGTTGTCATCTTGCGCGCGTATCACGGACGAAGAAAGAAAAAGAAAAGAAAAAAACTAAATGAATCGGAAAACTTACCGTCAAAGTTGATTTCTAATTAATACAGAAAGAATAGGAAAAAATCCAGGCAAACAAAATATGTAATAGTTACTAGATTTCTATTATTTAAATTTAAAAGAAACGTGTAGACATCAATTAAAATATCGGCCAAGTTCCTATTTTATTTTCTGATGCATATTGACCTAAAAAAGTCTTTTGATTCTATCATAACAACTGCAATCACATCGGTAGTTAAAGTAGACATATGTCAAAATTGACATAGAAATTCAGTTGAGATTGAAATGCGCTAAATAATAAATAAACGAGAAAAAAAGTTTGTTATCACATAGAATACGATCTATTAAAAGAAGGGTGTGGATGTGAGGAAGTGATTAGCACCACATCCACAATGTTAAATATGACATTGTAATCTTAATTAATATGAGAAATAAAATAGAAGTTCAATGCAGATCATTGTTGTTGTATTTTAAATCTATTGTAAATACAGAGGAAAAAGAATAAACATGATGTCACGTGTTCCCTTTCTCGATATATATATATATGTTCTTGTTTGTTCTTCTTTCGATTAGTATCATCGAAAAATGGAAGGAATAAAGCGACCGTTAGACGACGTTATTTCAAATGAAAATAATAACAAAAAACGAAAATTATTTGTAACAACAGATATATTCGCTGATATGGAACCTGATACTCCATTTAGATCTTGTTATGAAAGTTTAACCGATGAACTTATTTATAAAATCTTTGATTATCTTGATGTTAACGATATTTATTTTGGATTTTTCTATCTTAATAATCGATTTCAAAATTTATATCTTAATTCTAATATTGCATATCAATTAAATGTTTCGAATATATCAAAAAGAGATTTTCAATCTTATCATCATCATGTTCTTAAACCAAATCACGATCGAATCAAAATTTTTCGTCTATCGAATCCATTTACAATTGATATGATATTTTCTCCTTCACATCTTATTATTAATTTTATTCAAATTGAAAAATTAATCTTAGACAATATTAGTTCAAAATATCTTCTTAACATTCTTAAATATTTAATTCATTTACCACAATTATATTCATTGAATCTTTCAATTATTGATTACATTGACAATCCTTCGCCTATTTTTCTTCATATATTTTGTTTAACAAAATTAAAATCTTGTCAATTAACATATCAAGTTGAAGAAGACTTATTAAATGATTTTACTCAATTGGAACAAAGTTCAATCGAATATCTTATTATTAATAGTCATTTTCGATATGAATCTCTACAAGAATTCTTACTTTGTCTTCCAAAACTTCGTCATTTATCAATGAATTCTCTTATTGGATCAGACCATGCATCAAAAATCGAGTTTGCTCCAATTGAACTTAAAGATTTAAAATCAATTTCACTTGAACTTTATTCAATACATTTTCATCAATTGAAAAACTTAATTACAAATTGTTTTAAACATATTGAGAAATTAAGTATAACAACATTTAATGATTCAACATATTTATCTGGAAAACAATGGCAACAAATCATTTCATCTTCATTACCTAATTTACGTATTTTTGATCTACAAAATAATTATAATTCAATGTGGAATAAATTTGTATATGCGTGGTTAAGTACCGATTTTCAATCGAGTTTTTGGAAAGATAAACAATGGTTTTTCCAACATTGTTACGATGGTGAATTAAAATCAAATAATGGAATATTTTTTTCAACAAATCCATATCGGTAAATCTCATTTTTGTTCATTTTCTCTTTTTCTTACATATTAAATTTAGAAGAAAAGATTATCAATTTTATTGGAATGGTGATCATAATCGTACTAATTCAAATATGAAACAAGATGATTTTAAATCAATTCACAATTTATTTCTACATGATGCACCAAATAATAATGAACCTGTTAGTTATTTTCCAAATGTAAAAGAAGTAACAATTTATCATTGTGATTCGATTTTAACAAGTCTTAATCGAATTCTTCCTTTACATCAATTGAATAAATTAGTTATTGATTCAAAGAAATTTCGTGTTAATGAAATCTTGAATTTAATTGAGGTTACACCTAATTTGAAGACATTTCAATTGTTTTATTATTCATTTGATGAAAATCGATTAAAATTAATTGAAGAAAATGAGATATATCAATCTGTAATAAATAAAACTAAAATTGAAAATTTTCAAATAATTCATTGTTGTTCATTAAAAGAAATCTCGTTTTTTATGAATTTATTTCCAAAATTAAAATCATTTGAAACTGGTTTATTGAAAAAAGAATTTATTTTCATAATACAATATTTATTATTAAATATGGCTCATTTGAATTTTTTATGTATTAAAGATTTATCAGAAACTTATTTAGATAAAATCAATCTTTTAATTGAATCAAATAATTTACTCAAAGATTATTCTATTAAACTTATTGATGATGATTTATTTTTATGGTGGTAGAACAAGAAGAGAAAAGATGTTTTATTTGTTTTATGTATAAAATTAGAAAATCATTTTTTGAAATAAATAAAATTAAACTATAATTTTGTATTGAAATCCTTGAAACACATCTGGGAATCTTTCACAGTTAGATTATCTAGTATATATAAGATGGAATTGGAATAATAGGCAAACGAGAGAGGATCTGAGTTTCGTGCAAAGATTTGTTTAGTTAGCATATCGTATGTTAAATCTATCTTATATTTAAGTTAAACAGAAATATATTTCTTGTTCATTTCAATTTTGTCTTTTTTAGAATAAACAAAACCAGTCGATTGAACAATTTCGAAAATATGAACATTTTATTCACTATATTTTTTTTTCAATTCTTTGGATGTATCACTTATGCTATATCCTTATACAATTATCATTTTATTAAATTATTTAATCTTTAAATATTGTTTTCTGCTTCATGTAATTCATTCTCAATAAATACTTATTCACTATTTCAAACGTTATCTATTTAATATTTTGATATTTTCAAGGGAAAATACTAAAGATGATTATATTGACAATCTTGTCTTATTCGTACCATTGAATCATTGATTGAGGGTGTGTGTGATGGTGAAGGTATGGATGTCTCTTCACTATTCGTCAGTCGTACCATACCAACCCACACTCTTAAGAAAGAACGACCTTTTACGATTTCTCATATCTATTTGGTGTCTGCGGGAATGTACAAAACCTAAATTCAATAAAGATTGAATAGTTGAAAACATTCCCTCGTTATATTTTTTCGAATAGTATATTCGATAGTGAACTAATTTTCAAGCATCAATAAATTCATCAGTTATGTTAATTTAAAAAATGAGAGTGATGGATGCTGATGCAATAAATCCGTCACTTGACTATAGTTAATCGCTATTAACTATTGATTTGAGATTGATTCGAAAGATATGATAAAATGTGCTGCATCTTTATTTTTGTATTTTGATTCGTTTATGTTTACAGCTGATGCATTTACTTACTAAATATATTTATTGCAAATAGAATTTATTCATATTCATATACCCATGTAGCCGGCTGTTGCATTATCATGTAATAATTACCATTTTCTTTTCATTGTAATGGAAAATAATGGATTATAATGGCAATATTTACATGATAATGCAACAGCCGACTACATGTGTAGCAGTTTGTTGATCTATTGAAGAAAGTATAATTAAAAATAATATTTCATTGTTGTTATATATTTTCTTTCGTTTATATTTACAGTTGATAAATGTATCAGCTGTTTTCTTGTTCTACTTGTTCATGAATATTAATTCACAGTAGCAATTATATATAGTATAGTCACTCTAAGTTTTTCGGATAGCAGCATTTTATTTTATAGCTGAGTGGATCGGTGAAATTAGCAATTATCATTGGATTTTTATTCTTGTAAACGAGTGAAGTAATCAATCGTTTACGAGTAAGTCCCGAACAACGATAGTAACTTTTGCTATCTGAAAGTCTTTAATACAATTTAGCTTTCTGATTTGAATCTTATTTTTTACGTTTTATTGATAAATGTAATGTTTACATCTTTCTCTACCTCTGGATCACTATCATAGTATTGACTTTGTTATATTCTATTTTTGCACTTTTAGGTATAAAAATCGAAAACAAAATCAGTAGTGTCATTTATAGTTGATTTGACACATTCAGTTGCATGCAGCTCATGGCGTATGTTGTTTACTTAATCTTTTATTCGAGCTGTTCTTACTTTATTCTTAGGCATAGTTGCATTGTGTGGGTTAGTCTTTGTTTGTTCAGTGTTGTTCCCTTTACCAGTGCTATCAGCATTGCGTCGCTTAATTTCACAGATCTTCCTTCTGATAATTTGAGCGGCATAGTTGATAAGATTACCCCATCAGTAGAAACATTGTCTATTGAGCACAGTGCGCCCAAATGCTCAAGTAAAGATCTTCCAAATCTCTACGATGCAAGTATTAAAGAATTACAAGATGGTTTGAAGAAAAACTGCTTTACATCAGTGGATTTAGTCAATGCCTACATTGCACGCATCGATGAAGTCAACTTCAAAGGACCAACACTAAACGCAGTAATTGAAATTTCACCAAGTGCACTAAAAGCAGCTATTTCGGCCGACACTCTGCGCAAGTCTGGTAAAGTATTGTCTCCACTTCATGGTATCCCCATCTTGCTTAAGGATAATATTGCTACGCGTTCTGAAGATGGAATGAATACGACAGCAGGATCATTTGCACTTCTTGGTAGCATCACTCAAGGCGAGGCAACAGTAGCAGAGAAACTGCGTAATGCTGGTGCAATTATACTCGGTAAGACTGCTCTCAGTGAATGGGCAAATTTTCGTGGATTTAACATACCAAACGGATGGTCGGGCCGTGGCGGCCAGGCTACCAGCCCATTCTATCCACAAGGAGATGCATGTGGATCATCTACTGGTAGTGCAATAGCTTCTTCAATTGGACTGGCAGCTGCAACTTTGGGTACTGAAACCGACGGTAGTATTATATGTCCAAGTAATCGAAATAATGTTGTTGCAATCAAGCCGACTGTTGGTCTTGTTTCTCGAAATCTTGTTATTCCAATATCACAAAATCAAGATACAGTTGGTCCAATATGCCGATCTGTTGCCGATGCTGCTGCTATGCTGACTATCATTGCTGGTCGTGATAGTGCAGATAATTATACACTCTCTCAAGCGGAACAAGTTCCATGTTATACTGATCATTTAAAAAAAGATGGTCTTAAAGGTGCACGGATTGGGGTGCTTCGCCATATCTTTACCAACTCAACTTTCAACGGTTATCCGAACTATGTTATTGCAGAATTCAATAATACTATTGAAAACGTCTTTAAGAAGCTCGGTGCCATTATTATTGATCCTGCTGATCTTGAAACGGCTGACGAACTTGCCGCTTCCGATAGTGAACTTACCGTGTTAACTTTCGATTTAAAATATAAAATTAATGAGTATCTTTCACAGCTCAAGTCAATTCCTTCTGAAGTAAGAACCCTACAAGACCTAATTAACTATAATAATATTCATGCAGATGTCGAAATGCCACTTGGACGTGACAATCAGATATTGTAAGGGTCAAAGTTATTCATATAGTTTTATAGAGCATCATTTTAATATATTGATTAGATTCCTTATGGCACAAAATACCACTAATCTTCAAGATCCAATTTATCTCAACGCTCTAAATACCAGTCGTGACCTTGGTGGACGTCGAGGTATTGATGCTACCCTCAAAAAGTACAATCTTGACGCTCTAATCGCTCCATCGGAAGGTTTTACTACCACTCCAGCTGCAGTTGCTGGTTGTCCTATAATCACTGTTCCACTTGGTTTTCTACCCAACGATACACAGGTGATGACTGACGACGACACAAATTCACTTAACTCACCAGTATGGCCAGCACCTAACTTTCCCTTTGGAATATCCTTCATGGGAACGGCCTACAGCGAAGCAAAGTTAATCGAACTGGCTTATTGTTACGAACAGGCAACACTTAATAGAAACAAAGGCCAACCTTTTAAAGCTGCTATTCCAAAATCTCAGCTGTCGGATATTGTTCATCGAAAATAGTTTTTGGATATGGTTGTAATATTAAAATATTGACTTTAATATGGTAATGGCATTCATAATTACTTTTCACTAATTTTGATGTTGATTTCTAATAATCAATAAAATATGTGGGGTTGACAGAATAAATTTGAAATATTATTTTATTTAGTCATTTCATATGAACTTCTAATATCATATTATACATTAATGAAAAGCAGATATTTGCTACTAACATACATATATATATAATGTTTAAAAGTTCTGTTTTGGAGAATTATTCAGCAAAATTTAGTCCCTATAAAGAAAACTAACTTCATTAATGTAATAATGATATTTTCAAAATGAGAGTCTGGGTACAAGACTTGTTTGTTCACTTCAATAAATCTTTTCATAATAAAAAAATGTTAATTACTGAAAAAGAACAATAATATGTAAAACGAAAAAAAAATTATACTTAAAATCTATAACAACGTCCATTGTTAGACAAATAAATATCTTAATTTAATATAAGACTAATCTTCTTAATACTTTATTTTATTTCATATTGAGCTGATTCTTATCATAAAATGTTTTAGGTATCTTTTGAACAATGATTTATATAAGAAACTTCATTCAGCTTGATTTCATAAATTTTCATATTATTATTACTATTTCGATACGTTTTGAAATATCTTTCTTTTGAGTTCAAGGGAATATTATGAATATCATTGAGTTAATGTAAAGAGCATTCAATATGCAATCGTTTATATAAGAAAATAGTTAGAACAGTTGGAAAATGAAGTGTTGTTTCTATGACAATTTCTTTCTATTTCTTTTTTTCTTCTACTCGATGTTTGAATGACGCTTCAAGCTAATCATTTCACAGTAAAAAATTTTTATTACAATGGTAAGAAAATAATGAATGTACATTTGAAATTGTTTGTATATGGGAAGTGAAAAATATCAATATTGACTTATTTAAAAATCAGTTGAATAAGAGTAAACTGGATTTTGTTCGAAATTATCGAATAACACCTGTTTAAAAAAATGAATGAGATAGTGATCGTAATATTCTAATAGTGAAGAATTGTATTATTCATCGACTGAATGAAATTTTCCTTGATTTAGTGTAATAAGCCAAATTAAATTCGTTACACTGAATATGAGTTTAAAAGTAAACCGTACTACAATCCGAACGTTAATGTTCTATTTACTATTAGGTTTATCAAAGATTTCCATCGAACGTTGTTTTTCCAGTGGTGCTGATCTCTCATTTTTCAGCAATTATATTCACTTCTACTTCGTTACGAGTAGATATTTAGAAATGAAAAAACATCAAAATTATCGGCATGAAGTATAACGGATAGGACAAGATAATTTTGGCATAGTACGATTATAATAATAAGACAGAGACAAAAACTGAATCATTTCAATATTCAATCTTATATCAGTAAATTAAAATTTGTGATTTTCGAAAATTACTTTTTCCTTTGTTATTTCTTTATGTATACGAACAAAAAAAAGAGAAACAACAAACCAGCACATCAATCAAACATTGTATAAAAATATTCTTATGCATCAATGAACGCACATGTATGTCGATAAAAAACGAAACTACGTGTTCGATCCAAGTATCCAATCATATATTATATTTATAAAAACGTTGGGTGTGTTTCTCATTATTCGATGTATTAATGCACATTATTCTTCATAAATGATTGAAAAATACATTTGTTTAAACGTTATAAATATTTTCATGTTTTTCTTCTTTTTTCCAATTTTAAAAATATCGAAGTTTCATTATTTTAGATTATGGATACAGCTAATTCCGAAAAACAACAAGAATCTGCCCCATTAACTAGTTCTACTACTACTATCTCAACAAATTATGTCCCAGAATCGGATCCAAAAGATGATCCTCCTCCAAAAAATAACAGTCCAATTAAGACTATTATTACAGTAATTGTTTCTCTCATAGTTCTTATTCTTTTGATTCTCATGTTCATTTTGATTATCAAATATGCAACAAAAAAAGGTGAATATATATCGATAATATAATACCACTCAAATAAAAATCAACATCAAGAGAAAGTTACTTTTGTTACAATAAACTTCTTGTATTGTTGATGTACATCCTTTGTTTTTACAGGAACTCCAATAACAACAACTACAACAACTACAACAACAACAACACATACTTTTATCATTATTAAAGTATTGCCTCGAGCATCTGCAGCAATGGCAATGCCATATTTAGCTTGGAATCTTGTCGCAATGTGTTGTGGCATTATTATCACCATGATTATTTGAAACAATTAATATAAACTTGATAAAACTAACATAATATATTCGACTAACAAAAATTAGATAGTGTTCTTTATACTAACCAAATTATAATATAATATTGGATGCAACTATTGAAAATCTCTATCAATAAGATAAGAGATAATCATAATATTTGTATTCATTCATACAGAAAATATGATGTTCGATTCAACCAGTTGAATTCAATATTTCAATCTAGCCTTTACGTTTTTGTGTACTCAAAAAGTGAGTACACTACTAGAATCGGTCAGTGTGTTCGTCCGTCCGTTTACATGGTAACTTTCGAAAGAAGAGATAGATTTAGATGAAACTTTCTACATAATTCAGTGTCATCAACATCTCGATCGAGTTGAACCTAATTGGACGAGCCATTCTCGAATTATTGCAAACATACTGATATTTCCCAATGATTTTCATGTACACTTTTTGTAGTACACATAACTCTCGGATAAAATCCGAAGTTTCCACATTTATTTATAATACTAAATTAACAATTTCATTCAAAACTAAAATTAAATCATATTCATTAATATTTAATGCAGAAATTGAAAATTTTAATTCAGTATGATTATATTGATCATTAATATCATTCAAAGTATTTTTCAAATGTTTAGAGAAAAGTTTTCATTGACAAATAATTTCATTTTATTTAAATAAAATATTTTTGTATGACAATCATTTTGATTGAAGATCTCAAATATCAATATACTGGAGAGAAAAAAACGATATTAGCATATTTAAAGTAAATATATTGAAAGTAACAGTGTTACTCTAGTGTTCTCATCTAGCGGTTATCAATAAAAGTCCTTTATTCTTACAACTCACAATTTTTAATGTTTGTGTTGTGATAATATTTCAAAACTTATCTTTTCATTATATAATCTGCAGTATTAAATGATGAAATAGACTACAAATCTTCGTATGAAAAAATTCAATAATTTATTTTATAGATTAAATAAAAGGAAATGTTTTATATGAATAATAGTTTACTTTTGATGAAAACATAAGATGTAACTATAAAATCAATTATCTTTTGTAGATTGTAAAAATATTTTATACTGAATTTTGTCGTGTATTTGTTATTCTTGTCAAAAGGATATCAAATAATAAAAAGAGATTTCTTCTTCTTTATGTAAAAAAAACCTGATTTTGTTCGAGACAGTAAAAAACTGATTGCATAAAATGTTGGTTTTTCTTATCTCAAAAATAGAAAAGTACATAGTTAAGTTTCACTTCCTTCATTCAAGGTGAGTGCAGATGTGACCACCTTTTTTTTTTTATTATACTACCATTGCGCTCTCAAGATATTAACATCAGTTTTCTTGTTCGATTTATTTTACTACCAAGTAATGCTTTTATTTTCATTGAATTATTAAGTTTCGAACTATAAAAGTAGATAAGGAGATTATTCATTTTTTCTATAGACTTCTATTCAAAGACATGGCAATAGGAAACAATAAAACAATGTTTTACATGTAATAAGGAAAAATCACATATCCTTGTAAAGGATGTTTAAAAGAATTTTGTTTAATACATTTAACACAACATCAACAAATATTAAATAAAGAATTAAATGATATTACTAATGAATATAATCAATTTAAACAAAAAATTAATCAATAAAAACAAAATCCACAAAATGATTTATTAATAAATCAAATCGATCAATGGGAAAGAAATTCAATTGAAATAATTCAAGAAAAAGCACAAGAATGTCGAAAAATTGTTATTGAATATTTACCAATATTCTTTAATGATCTTGAAAATAAATTTAATGATTTAAATGAACAAATAAAACACATTCATCAAGAAAATGACTTTAATGAAATAAATTTAAATTATTTAAGAAATCAATTAAGAGAAATTACAGAAGAATTAAATAATTCATCAAAGATTTCGATTCAACAAGATTCACAATCATTTATTAATGAGATTTCTATTATTTTATCAAAAAGTAAGTTTTTAATAAAGAATTTCTAAAAGAAAAATTCTACTGAAGATGAGAAAAAAACATTTGAGATTATATTTGGTTTATTCATTAATTAAATCAATTAGAATAGTATTAGTAGAAATAGAAAATACAATTTATTCATAAGTAAAAGAGAAAAAATAATATTTAATTAAAAACTAAAATCAAAGTTTCATTCAAAATTAATCTTTTCTTTTTTTCTTCGATGAAAAACAACTTTTCTTTTTTTTATTAAAATGTTCTGTTTTCATCGTTTTCTAGAATCAAAATTCAACAAATGGAAACAAAATGCCATCACTGTGGTTGGTGGAAATGGACAAGGACACGAATTAGATCAACTCAATTCCCCTCGCGGAATCTTTATTGATAAAAAGAAAAATATTTTTATTGCTGATTATTGGAATAGTCGTATTGTTGAGTGGAAATACAATGCAAAAGAAGGACAAATTATCACAGGTGGAAATGGACAAGGAGATCGAATGAATCAATTGGATCGACCAACAGATGTGATTGTTGATCAACAAAATAATTCGATTATCATTGCTGATAAAGGGAATAGACGAGTGATTCAATGGTTTAATCAAAATCAACAAATTCTCATTGAAAATATTGACTGTTGTGGCTTGACAATGGATAAATATGGATTTCTTTATGTTTCTGATTGTGTGAAGAATGAAGTGAGACGATGGAAAATGGAAGAATATAACAATGAAGGAATTGTAGTGGCTGGTGGAAATGGCAAAGGAAATCAACTCAATCAACTTGATTTTCCTAATTTTATCTTTGTTGATGAAGATCAATCAATTTATGTATCAGATAGCAGCAATCATCGTGTGATGAAATGGAGAAAAGAAGTAAAAGAAGGAAGAATTATGGCTGGTGGAAATGGTAAAGGAGAAAATCTCAATCAATTATTTGGGCCTCAAGGAGTAATTGTTGATGATTTAGGTCAAATCTATGTGGCAGATTTTGAGAATGATCGAGTAATGCGTTGGTGTAAAGGAAAAGAAGAAGGTGAAATTGTTGTTGGTGGAAATGGAAGAGGATATCAATCAGATCAATTGAATGGTCCCATTGGTTTATCTTTTGATGATGAAGGAAAACTCTATGTTGTTGATAATTTAAATCATCGAATTCAAAAATTTGAAATAATTTTGTGAGCGAAATGTTTTTTTGAATAAAAATCGAGAAATAAAAATAAAAGAAAGAAGAAAAATCTTTTTGTTTTTTCCTTTTTAAAAATTTAATTTAATTTGATATTTGGATAAAAAGGAAAACAATTTCCAGGTATCGATTTTACTTTTATTATTCCTTAATCCATAATCATCTTTCAAAGTAGAATTTGTTAAGGAAAACTGCTATTAGAATAAGTGAAGAAATAATTGAATGAATTGTTTCTTATTCGATTCTAATTAATTAAAGTTAATAAATACTTAATAAAAATGATTAAATTTCATCATGAAATCAATTCTAAAATCTATTTTTCCAATATTTTCAAATTAAATTATTTAGAATAGATGTGACTGCGGGAAAATATTTTTTGTTCTTAAAAATAAAATAAGAAACATTTATGTGATTTAAGAGAGTGTGAGTAGGTGTGGATACTATGGTGACAAAACCGATCATCAGTCTGATAAAGTTGAAAAATAAGGGAATCTCTTGCTCATGTTTATGATAAATAAAATTAATCTAAGCTATAAAGTCTCTTGGGAATGATGTACTTTTGGTTTCTTTATTGTTGACGTGTTTGCAAGATTCAAAAAATCGAACATTTGAGTAAATATTGCCTGACTTATGCAATAATAGAAGTATAGTTTTTGACAACAACTGATCTAGTGAAATGAACGAACAATGTTGAAGCCTTTATATTATTTGTGTATTATTTTATGTGTATACTGCCATCTTGATCGACGGACGTAGGAATTATATTTATCTTTCATCCTCCATTCTACGTATTGAAATTGAAATATCTACGATTTATCTCAAGTCAAATTATCACTTAGAAAAAATCGTTCTATAAGTGTAAAAAAAAGCAAATAAATTTTATCTCATTTATTAGTTTACGAGTTAACTAGAGAATCGGCCTCTAAAAGTGCAGCTGCAAAAGTAGAAAAGTTAACATGCCACACACGAATCAGTACTATAATCGTCTTAAATGTGTTATAATGTTTCAATGTAAATTATTTTTTTCCTTCTTATCTCTCGTGCAACTTAGAATCGATTTAATAAAATAATAATTTTTCATTTGTAAGTTGTATTGGAGTGTCGTTTTTTTATTTCATCGATTACATGGGAATCTTTTCAGATGCTAGGCTCCTCTCTCTTTCATTAATACACCATACAATCGAAGGCATCGATCGAGTGAATAAAAAGCTTCGATAGATGAATATGTATCGAAACCAGGTCTCTGATATGTTTGCTTGCCGAGCTGCGAGAATTTATATTTATTGAGTAAAGTAACTATTCTGTTAACTGTAACAATCGTTCTTAGATATCCAATGAAGCATTTTCAGCGTCTTCTATCGTGTCGTGTGTAAATATGAGAGTAGAAAGTTTGATAAAAGAAACACCTTGTTCTTTTTGATACCGTACTTGTAGAACGTTTTTTTTCTCTGGTCAGGGAAAAGAACAGAACACAGTATATAGTTTAATCAGTAGTAATAGTATGACGGATTGAATGGAGTGAAATCTTTTTTGTTGTATGGCATGAGTAAAAAGTATTTGAATGCAATTAGTTTTATATCGTGATATTGATTATTTTGCAGTTATAAACTACACAACAACAACCCGTTCGATTTTTACGAGTGATGAAATTCAATTACTGTTGGTATTTACTGCCGTTTTGTTTGATAGTGGTGAGTGTAATCTATATATTTGAATGGATAAATTATTTGTTTTTTTAAACAAGTAGATTGCTACAAACGTTCATTGTGAAATCATTGATCAGACGGCAAGAGCTACAGAAACTGGTAAATATATTTTGATCCTAACAAAATTGAGTCATATTTCAAGTATTCTTTGTTACAGCTAAAGTTTGTGATGGTGATCAGTCCATTGATATCAATATTATTAGTCGTACACCAAACACGTTCAAGTGCCAGATTTCCTACGACTGTAATATTACAAATCATGCTAATACATTGGCAATATTTAAAGATGATAAAATTGTATCACAATGCACATTGAGAAAAGTAGCGGCAACTGGCGGCAGGGAGAAAACCAAACTTGAAATCACATGCAATCTTATTATGGGCTATGCTGGAAAAAATTGGAAATTTGTATTGGGTAACAAATCTGGAGTTAATCCAACTATTGGCAATGAAACATTTACTGTCACACTTGATCCATTACTTTTGACGAAGCTACCTAGTTTTGATATTACACTTAATGAGGAAATCACATCGGCGTCAATCGTTATACCCGATTGTTCTCATATTTCAGAAATTAAAAATCTTAATTTTCAATGTTCGAGCGATGATGATGTAAAGAAACCAGTTACTGACACTTGCCAAGTTACATGTCCAGTGAAACCAGATTCCACTTACAATATATCATTGATTCGTATTCCTATACCAATATATAATGGAAAGGAAATTGCCAACGGTACATTCCCAGAAGAACGACGCTTCGAAACTATTCGTATAGGTAAGATACGACTGGAGTTGATCGAACTAGTAAACAACATTCCCATATTGTTGTATTGATATCAACGCGAACTAATACTTTTGATATTTTTATGTTATAGGTAAACCTTGCCAGAATGTTCACTCGACTGCTACGAAAGTGATGAATCGGGCATCGAGTATATTCATGTTCAACATTTCATACAATTGTTTAATTGCAAATTCTGCTAAGTTAGCTGTATTTAAAGATGGCAATATCGCAACACAATGCAAAATAGATTTGACTTATTTACCGAGGATTGAGAAGACTAATGTTATAGTTACATGTATTAATATTACCAATCATGCTGGTCAGAAATGGCCGTTTTCATTTGGTAGTATGAATGATCACAAAACAAATGTTGTTAATGAAACATTTACTGTATCGCTCGAGCCACTCTCTTTAAAAAACCTACCAAAAGTCCAACAAACAGTCGATGAAAACATTACTTTAACGACGATTGTTGTAGAGGGATGCAATCAAGTAGCAGAAATGGCACATCTCTATTTTCGATGCGGACTGGGTGCCGAGACTGAAAGGAAATCTCTTCCAGAGAATTGTACATTTACATGTTCGGTAGGACCAGCTGTTCATTATAATTTTCAAGTCATTCGATCTTCCATCCCAAAATATGATGGAGCACAGACTTCGAACAGCACATTTCCAGAAGAAGTGCTGCCTGTCCCTATCACCACAAGTAAGACCAGGTTTAAAGTGTTTATTTAAGCAATGAAATGCGCTTTTGTACAGCAGATTCCACTCCATATAATTGAGCTTCCGAAGTCACTTAATAAGTAATGCTAGTTTGTTTTGTATAGCTGAAGCTATTTAACATAAGTTCATTACTATATTATCTTGTCGGATTTTAGAAATAGACAAAGCAACCAACTTCAGTGTTGAATTAATCGAGACAAACGATACTGTGGCATTGATTTATTTCACACGACCCCGGGATTTTTTCGACGAGATTCGTATCGACTGTTCTGCATCTAATCAAACATGTACGAATACAAGTGCCGTTCTAACGGGCAAAATCAATAGTGCATGTACGAATTGCACTCATATCACAATCGCTCCAATACAGAATGGTATCGACTATAAATGTTGGGCAACTGTTTCCAGAGCAGGATTTAGTTCGATAAAGTATAGTGCTATAGATTTCAACACAAGTAAAGACATCTAAACAGTATATCAGTTCTTGATTATGTTTTTTCTTTTTGTTAGCATTAAAACCAGTACTTTACAAACGGACATGGTTGTCAAACACTACTGATATTAGTGTCGAAGTTATTCCCCAAAGCGACTTCGATCATATTGAATCAGTATGCCAAGCAAATCATACGCAACCATCTGTATGCATGGACATGAAAATAACTCATAGTCAATGTACAACAACATTAATAGCAACTTTCAATGGTACTCCTGGGTGTGATTATCGATGTTTTTTTTCAACAGTAAAAGAAGGTTACATAGACGTACATTCAGAAGAGTACATTATGTCAATTCGTAAGTAACGAAAGAGCGTGTAGATGTGGATGAGTGTGTATTCTTTCTATTCACACCCACATCCACACTCTCTTTTCTATTCTCAATAAATATTTTTAAGTGTGGTTATTCTACTAGCTCTTCGAAAAAAGAAAAATCGATCATTACTATGGCTGATTAGTATTCCGATCGTGATCATTTTCTTGATTGGTGTTGGCTTTATTGTGTGGAAACGAAAGACACTTCTCAGACGTCAGTTTGCAAGTCGAGGGTAGGACAGTTCTGACGATATCTTTACACTTTATTCTCGTTTGCTTTATTTTATTCCAGATCAAGATCAGGTGATTTTCAAGCTGAAGTCATCGAGTGAGTGCATACAATAAAGGTAAAGGGCCGGCTATATTCATTCGATAGAACTGTTCCTTTATCGGTTATCGAAGGAATAGTTTTTTGAAAATAAAAGACTTTTTACTCACATCGACAATTGCCGAAGAATTTTATAAGAACAAAATTCGTATAGAATTAGTAATTATATGAGATTGTTTTACTGAACGATGAATGTCAAGCAGAAAAAGGTATCGCAGTTGTGAAACAGAGTTTTCTATATTAACATATGATTAATCTAACAATGAAAGCTCGATCATCATTACGTTTAAAATCTTTGTTTCTTTTACAGGTTTCAGCAAAAACAACGCTAGAAAAAATCATCAACTTTGTACTTGTTATGATACCTTCGATGTTACATAGCCAAAGTTTAGAACACTAAACAATTCACTTTTATTTGATTCTATGTATACGTGTGTGTTGAAACAAAATAAATATCATAAATAATAACTAGATAGAATACGAAGGAAAGCTCATCGATGTTGTATAGTGCTAGAGACAATGTGGGTGTGGGTATGGGTATCTCTTCATTCTTTTATTCGCACCAACATTCACTCCTATAATATTTGCTTCAACTGAAAAATATTGATCAGAAATTTTTCTTTTTATCATTTTGAGAACAAATAAA